AAGCAGTTTGATTCTCTGCCTTATTCTACTGGTTTTTGCTAACATGATCCAAAGTTCCAATTAAATTCTTATAATCAGATATTCTTAATGTTCCTTTGTAAGCATTTTAACAGTTTTGATATTTGCCTTAAGTTTTAAGAACTAAATTTCAAACTAATGACTTCGGGGGACATGTTGTATTTATAGCATAACTTTCCCCTCTCAAAGTCCTCATTTTGTAATTTTATAAATGGTTGGATGGAAAATATTCAATTATTTTCTGAGCTCTACATACTTGAGAATGCTTTGGGGTGTGTCTGTAGTGGGTTAGTGTGTATGAGAAGACTTTCCAGCTAGGTATAAAATTATTGTGTTGAAAGTTTCCTCCCTGAAGACAATACTAAGTAATCATCTGCCCATTTCTTTTTATTGTTGTTTTTCCATCTGTATGTATATTTTTCTTACTGTGGCATTTCCTATGTATTTTATAAATATATATCTGGGTGTTTTCCTGTTTTCCTTGCTTTTGAAAAAGAATGCATTGGACCCTTTCCTTCTGCACATGTAGTTCTGTCCTGGGCTCAGAAGTCCTACCCTTGGTTCTTGTTTCCATTTTTCTTTGGCCTCTACTGAAGTCTAGCCACATGTCAGCTCTCCATTCTCTTGAATATCTCTTAATTCTCTCTAGTCTTCCCATCTTTAGCCTCTACATATAGAGAGTTTTTGCATACTGAATCACTTTCTACAGTTTCATTCTCCCTGCTGCTTCAGAAATGAGTTTTAATTGTGCTACTGTGTTTCTGCATTGCTTTAGTTTTTATTTTCCCAACTCTAATATACCCTGTGGCCTTTGAGTTAGGCCTTGTTTCCTCCCCAGTTTCATAGAAGCTTTTGTCTTTTTAGAAGTTCTTGGGCCTGTTCTACCCATTGTAAGCGATTGCTTCTGAGATGCTGTGGGAGATGTTAGTAGATACGAGGGTTTATAGCCATCACATATTTATGGTTTGACCCTTTGCAGATCCCTGCACAGCCCTGATGGCTGGATTCCCCATGCCAGACAGGTAGAGCTTTGTTCCCTTGCTACCTGGCCTTTAGTGGGACTCATTTCTGCTCGGTGGAGTTGGCATCTTCTCCTGCCTTTTCTGATTCTTCGCACCCATGATTTAGATAAAGTACAAGTTTGGAGGGTCAGTACAAATGGCTCGCAGTCCTACCCTCCTTAAACTTCCGCTCCCTGCCCATGCTTCCTATCCATTTGTTTTCTGCACGTTGTCTGGCTGTCATCTCCCCCTCCTCCTCTTCCTCCTCCTCTTCCTCCTCTTTTTGTTTTGTGATCTTTCTTTTCATCAGACGAAGAACTATTTCTGGATGTAAAACCCAGATAGGCTTGGCCTCATCCACCACCATCTGCCTTTAATTAATTGAGATTGCTCCCAGATTCCGGCATTGGGTCATCTATCAGTTTCATTCTTGGCCTTAGTGTGAATTTTCATTTTTTTCACCGTCTTTATAGCTGTTTTGGAACAAAACAAGGAGAGGCCCTGTGAGTGGCTGCCAAGTAGATACCATGTTGCAGGAGTCAGAGCTGGGCTTTCAGCAGGGATTTGTCTCTACAGTTGTGTGTGGTGGTAATGAAGGGGGCAAGTACAAGGCCATTTTCCTTACCCAGGGACCGCTTGTCCGGCGACCTCAGCAATCTGTACCCAACGTGGAGTCCACAGACAGCCAAATATCTCTTGCTGCGTCCATGTTTTGAAGGTTACTTATTTTCTTCAGAGGAAACTGCTTCGGCCTGTCCCTCCTAGCCTGTGTACCTGTATTTTTACACACCACTCTAATGGGTGTGGTGTGTTTTCTGAGCTCAGTACTGAATTGGAATCTGAAGGAGTAAGGGACATTTTGCAGAGGAGACTGGTGTCTTTTTCTGAGTTTGAGTTAACCACCTGTCTGGACTTTCCTCTGCTGAGCCAGATGCTGGGTGCAGACACCATCTCTCACATTCTGGAACTACCAGGAAGTATGTGTAACCTAGACACGCAGGCTGCTGCTTCTGTGAAGGCAATCAGAGCATGTTGTGGCCAGATCTCAGACCTTAGTGGTGTTTGAAACTCTGGGGTATTTCTACTTCAGGGCTGGTCCCAGGGACCAGGGGTTAGGCTCACAGGCTGCCTCAGTAAGACTTTCTGAACCTTAGATTCTCTTTTGTACAATGGACCATGCTATAGGTAGAGAGGAGTTTGTCAAGCCACAGAACGGTGCCAAGGCCTCCTAGAGAGAGCTGGCTGTGCCACCACAGTGTGTGCGTTTTTTGAGAAATACTGAGATGGCTGGGCCCTGGCATGCAGATTGAGAGCACTGTGTCGTTAGCCAATGGTGGATGCTGCCCATCCTCTGGGTGTACATTTAGGTCTAGAACTTTGACTATTCCTAGGGTCTGGGTAGTGATGCTGAAGGTTTGAGGGTGGCTCGTTCCTGGGACTTAAATGTTTTCCTTTTACCATGCAGAAAGGGGCTCCCCTTGGGTGGACCCAAGCTCAGTTTTTCCAGTATTTTAAGTTGGGCACCATGTCTCCCTCTTGCAAAACTGACACACCCAATAATGTCCTCTCCACCTGGTTTGTTGCATGGATATGCCCTGTAAGACTCAAGGCATTGTGACTTCTTCCTCATTGGAAATAAGCACACTCACTTGGGCCAACAACTTCACAAAACTTTACACAAAAGCTCCAAGTAGACTCTAAGTTGACCCTGCAGTGACGTCATTTGGCTCCAGTTGCATTTCAGTTTACCTCCCTAAGTGGAGAGCGCAGTGCCGGAAACTGACCAAACCTGCTTGCAAACACCAGAATGTATGCACAACCTGGGTCCATCCATGGAGTGGCTGCTGCCAGCGTGGCAGCATAGACACATGGCACAGATGCCAAACAGGAAGGGCCGCCATGAAGAATGATGGTGTAGTGGACGCCTGTGTTGGGGCTGCACCCTTTCCTGTCTCCACTTTGGGCATTGCCGTACAGAGTGAAGTCCACACTCTCTAGAAAGCCTGGCCCTTGCACTCCAAAATCTTCCCCAGAAACCAGTCACTAGCCCAGCTGGCACTGTCCCTGGGCAAGGCCATTCTGAGGTGGGTTCAGAGGGACAGGCCACAGGGCAAGGAGGAAGAGGACATGATTTTTTTCCATTTCTTGAAGCTGGTTCCTGCATTTTGGCCCCAAGAGGCTGGCCCCCAATTGTGGTATTTAGGCCACGGCTCCCAATGGTGGGATAGAGTTGCTTAAGGGAGGCATCAGTCAGAACATCTGGTACCTTGAGAGAAGAGCTGTTAGCTGGGGTTAGAGTCAGGTTCTGTAGAGATGGCCACTGACTATCCCCTGTAGATCTTAGCCACAGGCTGGTGGCAGACAGTAGTGGAGTACACCTGTGCAGACAGTAGTGGAGTACACCTGTGCAGACAGACAGTAGTGGAGTACACCTGTGCAGACAGACAGTAGTGGAGTACACCTGTGCAGGCAGTAGTGGAGTACACCTGTACAGACAGACAGTAGTGGAGTACACCTGTGCAGGCAGTAGTGGAGTACACCTGTGCAGACAGACAGTAGTGGAGTACACCTGTGCAGACAGACAGTAGTGGAGTACACCTGTGCAGACAGTAGTGGAGTACACCTGTGCAGACAGACAGTAGTGGAGTACATCTGTGCAGACAGACAGTAGTGGAGTACACCTGTGCAGACAGTAGTGGAGTACACCTATGCAGACAGTAGTGGAGTACACCTGTGCAGACAGTAGTGGACTACACCTGTGCAGACAGACAGTAGTGGAGTACACCTGTGCAGACAGTAGTGGAGTACACCTGTGCAGACAGACAGTAGTGGAGTACACCTGTGCAGACAGTAGTGGAGTACACCTGTGCAGACAGTAGTGGAGTACACCTGTGCAGACAGTAGTGGAGTACACCTGTGCAGACAGACAGTAGTGGAGTACACCTGTGCAGACAGACAGTAGTGGAGTACACCTGTGCAGACAGACAGTAGTGGAGTACACCTGTGCAGGCAGTAGTGGAGTACACCTGTGCAGGCAGTAGTGGAGACACCTGTGCTCCTGTTTTGTGTTCCCATATGCATCATTCCTTTCTCCCGTGTGGGTAGCTTACCTAACTCTGAGCCCATTTTTTTTAACCTATCCAATGGGAATAGCATGGTTACATGAGAGACCAACTGCAAGGCTTTTTGGGAGATGCAGCATATATGGAGATGCAGGTTGGGCAGGTGGCTGGTGGTTTCCCTCAGGCTATCATACAGAACTCATGAAAAGATTACCCTTGTTTCCAATAAGTAGCAATAGCTGACAGGAGAGCACAAGGTTAGGCTGCATTTGCGGGTGGGGTCAACAAAGCCACTGCAGGAGATACAAACTTTGCACCTACTGCTTGCCTGGATTTCCTAGAGCCTGGAACCCCCAAAGCTGTGGCCAGCAGGTATGGCCAACAGCCAGTGGCCAGCAGGCCTGCCTCTCAGTGGGGGGGGCCCATTAGGGCTAAACTCTTTTTGTGGGCATTTTATTTGCACACTTCACTGGAGTGGACACCAAAGAGGTTTTCAAGGGCTGCTAATTTCCCCAGTGATATCTTTTGTTGGGGTCTAGCCCCAGCCAGAGGCTTCATGCCATGAAAGCCAGCGCCTGACACAGACCCGGGCAGCAGGGTGACAATGAGGCCTCTATCTTCTTTAATCAGGTTCTAGTTGAATCTTACAGCAGAAGGAATTGGTATGGCACTCTGAGTCCCTGGGTAGCACGATACAGTAGTCCCCAAGGCTCTCATGGAGGCTGAAATAGTCCACCAGGTTGAGGGAGGGGGGTGGCCTTTGTCCCACTGGTCTCTCTAGAAAGCCAGCCTATCCTGAATGGGTCACCTGGTTGGCCTGGCCCATGGATACCACTGGGTATGTAGGGAGGTGGCCCACTCGGCTGTTAGCCTGTTCTTTAGTGACCTAATGAGTTTCTGTTCATGTCCTCCTCTGCAGACTGTGACTCCTATTGCAAGGCCTCCAAAGGGAAGTTGAAGATGAACATGAAGAAATACTGCAGGAAGGACTATGGTGAGTGTGTGCTGGGCTTCTCTGGGGGTGGCTTGCAAATGACTTGTGTCACAGAGTCCCTGGGACCCATGAAATCTCATCCCTGAGAATGCCTTGTCTCTTGAGAAGCCACAGGGGCCTGGACCTTCCCAGTTGTCCTGCACAGGGCCATCCAGACCAGTGAGGGCCATCGAAGCTGGGATTCCTAGCCTGGACTGTTAACTCTGCTCCAAAGGGCTATGTGGCTACAGCCCTCTCATTTGCTCTCTGGTCTTCTATGTCCTCATTCATACCCACCCTTTGTCTCAAGCCTTGCTCGAGTGAAGTTCTCCAGCATCAGAGTGGGTGAGAGCCATGGGTGTTTAGGGGTTCTCTTAGGCTGTGGCAAGATGAGGAGTCTGCACTATAAGCTATTCTACCCCCATCCTCCCGACCCTGAGGGCCCTGAGCAGTTCCTGAGGTTTTCAAAGGGAACCCATGCCACATGGGGATCCACATTGGACCAGCTGCTTGAGCCAGACTTACAGTTTTCTCCCTAACCAGGCTAGTAGCCAGGGCTTCTCAGTATATAGGAATTCATGATTAGGTACAAAGGAATTTTGAGACCTTCTGAAACCTCATTTTACAGTGAGCACACACACACATGCCCCTCACGTGAAGCCAGAAGCCAGACAGCCCCACTCATCACAGGCCATGTGGCTTTCCCCAGAACAAGTAAGAACAACATGCAGGGTTTAGGCACTGATTCACAAGTCACCAGGCTGTGGGCATCCAGATTCAAGCCTCACCTTCTACCAGGGGTCCACAGACAAACTTCTCAAAGAACAGACCCCTTAAAGAATGGCAGCCCAGAGCACTGCAGAAGTTTCCAGTGTCCACTGAGGAACAAACCCAGGTTTCCATGAGCTGGCTGGCCTTGAGAACTAAAGGAAGCACTTGCCTCCTTCAGGCTGGGGTGGCGGCTACAGGAGGAGCTGGACTCTCAGGTCTATCCCCCGTCTCTGCCAGAGACTGACAGAGGCAGGTCCCAGAACAGACCCTCCCAGAGTCTGTGGGCTGAGAACCCGAGCTTCTCTGCTCTCCTGAGCTTTGGCCTTGAAGCCTGATGGCTGCTGCTCCTGGCAAAGCCGAGGGCCGGGTGCAGTCAGGAATGATGTGAGGGCCAACTTACCACTCCCACCCCTTTGTCAGCTCTGGGCCAGGAATAGGATAGGCCTGCTTGAGGAAGAGTTGGTGGGGTTCAGTGTGGAGCTATCTGGGGAGGGGACTGGGTGGGCTGGGGTGGGGTAGGGAGCTATCTCTGATCCATAGTGTCGATTCTGGTCTTTAGACGGAAAGGGGGAAAGAAGTTACTAGCATGGATCCCATGTTCTACTTGACTCTTTTGGACTTAGTTTTGTTCTCCTCCACATAATATTCCAGGGTCACCCTGGTTAATGGTGACTTTCATGGATTTAAGACTGGGGCTTCCCTGACCCCACATGCAGGGGGTGTTCCTAGAGCCAGCAGGAGGTGTTCTTCTTGGCTAGGGAAGGGTTGGTTCTCTTGGTTCTCTACATTGGCCTTTCTTGTGTGGTATACCTTCTCGGCTGACAAAGCCTGAATGTGCCATGCCCCTAGTGTCACTTCCTAGCTCTGCTTTTCTCCTTCCCCAGCAGCCCCAGGAGGTTCTGAGTTCGTCTGTTTTCTGTTTCCCTAACAAAATATCTGAGGTATATTTCTGGCTCATGGTTCCTGATGTCTAAGAGCATGGCACCTGTGGCCACTCAGCTTCTAGTTGGCAAGGGGACTCAGGGAGCCAGGTATCTTGCACAATCTGCTCTTATACTGCTAACTACCTCTTATGGGGGCCTTCATGGGCATGGACCCCTCTGGACCCAGCACACCCCCAGAGGGCCTTCCCACGCCATAAAGGTTCTGGTGGAGACATCATGTTCTAAGCACTGCAGCGTTTCTGGCTCTAGGGCTGCCCTTATGCAATAAGGTTGTTTGAAATAAGGGTAGTCTCCTCACTGCTGCTGGTTGTCTACCATGGGGGTCACATAAGTTCCACGGAGGGCTCAGAAGAGCCATGCACCATGGGACATGGAGCCTGGTTTGAGAAGGTAGGGCTTAGGCAGCGTGGTGGGCAGGTGAGTACCGCAGGGGTTGCCCAGCAGTGTGAACCTTGCTGAGACTGGGGAAGCGTCTCTCATTGGACTTTGCTGGGCTGTGAGAATCTTCCAGTTATTCTTGGTTGACCCGCACAGCCTGGGTGAAGTGTGTCTAGGTGGCCCTTCTGTCCTCAGAAGATCTTGTCAGCCCAGGGAGAATATGGACTGGAGGACAGGAGAGAACCCGCCCAGATTCAGAGGAGGTGAGGCCAGGCCAAGGGAGCTGGCTCAGAGGCTGCCTAATCCCTGCTTGCTTGCTGACTGACACTCCGGCAGGGGGCCAATTAGGAAACAGGTTTCCTTCACATCCAGGGCACTTGGATGTTCCAGAAGCTGCTAATTAGAACCTGGGTTTTGCCACTCCTGCTGAGAGAAGAGCCTCTTTCTGCTGCAATTCCACCAAGTGAGGCTTGACCTGGGGCAGCTAGAGATCTCTGTTTCAGGCTCCACTAATCCTGGGTGGTAGCCAGTGTGCAGAAACCTACAGCCTGAGGAGGCCTATGGGAAGAGACTGGCTGGGCAGCCCGAGGTGTGTCAGGCCAAGCTTGAGTGGGTGGATACAGGGCAAGGCAAGAAAAACCAGGGGTCAGGGAGAGCCTCCTGGCAGGGCCTCAGCAGGCTGCTGGCCCCAATCTTGAGAGGACCCCCCCTTCCGGTGGGGAAGGTGGTTCCTTCCTTTCCCAGTCTGGACTTCACCAGTCTGGGCTTCTGTTTCCTCAGATCAAGGGGACATGATATGCAAGTGCCAGGCACCATGTCTACGGGGCTACTAGTCCATGGAGAGCAGGTCATCCATCACCTGTTCCCACCTCTGCTGAGCCACCTCAGTCCTCTGTTGCCCTCTAGGGGAATCGGCTTACCTTACAGATGCTCAAAAGCCAGTACCAAGCCACTGTAGAGCCCCTGCCCTGAAGACAGCTTTTATTCTTTGCAAGTCTCAGAAACACTCACTCTGGAAGGACCCTTCTTTTGTGGGATGGGGTGTTTCCCCTCACCACCACGACGGCATCCCCTGCCAGCCCAGACAGAGGAGCTGCCTACCCTGAGACTCCTTCACTTGGAGTCCCATTGCCCTGCCCCTGAGGTCAAGTGCTCTGGCCCTCCACTTCATGGGTGTCTCTTTTCCCTAGTTCCTCTGCTTCTTGGGGAAAGGTTCCTCTGACGTGTCACACCTTTAACTTTGTACAGTGCCCCCCCACTGCATTGAGCTGCTTCTCACGACACTACCAACCTGCAACACAACACACACGTGTGGTGGCCCTGTCATAGGGACCGAGGTAGTCCTAATACTTTGTCCCATTGCCACCCTCAAGATCTTCCCTCTGCACACAGTCACTAAGAAGAGTCTTAGGCCCTGCCCTGTGTACTGCAACCACAGATCTGCATGGCACGTGGGCTGGCCCTCAGGGAGTATGCATTTGGGAGAGACATACATGATGAGAGCCCCAGAAGCAGCCTGAGTGAGGCTGTCCAGGGCCTGGCTTGGCTTTATGGAGGAAGGAGTCTGGATGGCCTGGACCCACAAAGCAGGGGTCCCTAGTAGAGGGACAGTGCCTATGCACAGAAGCAGGAAACTGGCTGGTAGGTTCTAAGAATCGGGAGGGCAGGGGTGCTGGGTACAAGGGGGTAGAGAGGTGGTGGGGAGACATCAGCATTGGCCTGCTGGGTGCTTACATCTGTGAGCAGAAACCACTGTGACCCCACTGAGGGTGACGCCTGTCCCCTAGCAGCTGCCCAGGGAGCCCAAGTGTCCTCTTCCTTCTCCCTGGGATGCACATCAGCTCTTCTTGTGAAAGGTGAGATCATCTTCCTCTTGCCAATTCTTGGAAAAGTGCTTCATTCCCAGAAATGTTTATTAGTCACCCCCTTGTTGAAAGACGTTTTGGCACTACTGGATGGAAAACTGAAGATGCTTTCACACGAGCTTCAAGTGTTCCACCTGACAGCCTATGCCGTGGTTTCAGAGGATGCAGCTTGAGGGGAAGTGGGCAGGCATCTTGGCCCCATGTGGCATGTGTCTGTGGCCCAGGTGGCCTCTGGTATATCTCAGCATGACTTTGTGCCTAGGAACTTCTGGGGTCAGTGAAAATGTAGTAGGGTGAGGATAGCTGAGCCAGGAATGGGCTCCCCCACTGGCCCTTGGGAATACCTGCTAGCCCTGCCTCACTCTTATCCTGGTGCTCATCAGCCACATGGGAGGGAGGGCGGGAGGAGTTCTTAATCCTGTGGTTCACCAAGACTCAGCGAGGTAAAATAGCAAGCCTTGTATTGGGTGCTCTGGGATTCCAGGCCTGAGCTTTCTCCTTCCTCATGCTGGTGACTTAGCCTTTGGCAGCCTAGGAGAGACATAACAGTTCTTAGAGGGCTCACAAGTTCATATGCTAGTGGGATGCTGACTCTCAGCTCCAGATCAGACTTGGAAGAAAAGCAACAGGAACATCTTGATGGGCAAGGAAGAAGGTGTTCTTCCCATGGTGGGGAGCCCCTGAGCTGATGGACAGAGATGACAACATATTAAGAGATGGTAGTGATGATGGTGGCAGAGATGGAGGAAGGCTGTGGGGAGATGGATTTGTGGTGGGGAGCAGGGAAGAGGCAGCTGTGGGAGTGAGTGGATTAGAGGGTGCTGAAATGGGTCAGATGGTTGCTCGTGGAGACGGTACGGTCATGGTGGAAGTTCTGTTTTGAACAGCAGGGCCCAGTGCTAGCCCAGCTCTTGTGTCTTGGATTAAACTGGGAATAAGGGGTTGGGGTCTCCTTGCTGTGGACATGGGGTTTTGCCACCTCATGAGCATTCTCTCTCCTTCTCAGTGACCCTGGGATCAAGTGTTTCTCAGCAGCCGTGTCGTGGGGATGAGCTTACTGCAT